TAGACATTTTTTCTTTGTGTTTATTTTAGACCTGCCATCCTCAAACTTTTCAATATTACTAAAAAAGTAACATTGATCTTAAAGATTCTATCTTCCTCACAAGTGAAAATAAATGTCTCTTCTAGAAAGAAGGGGCTGAAGCTTTATACGCTGCATCAGACTCGACGTGTAAAAAATGAAAGTAGTGTAATATTCTTTTTTTTTTTTTTTTACTAATAATAAGAATTGTCATCTTCAAGTAGGAGCAAACAAAGTTTTATGGCACCTTCGTTGTATTTCTTTTTTCTCTCTCTTACATAGGCAAAGAAGGGATCTATCCCTCCTTGGACCATGAATGTGCCTGAATTCGTGATTTGGGTTCCTCTAATAGAGATCCAGTCGACTTAGGGTTTGTTGTTTTCAAGGAGTGAACAAGGTTTTATGGCACGGTTGTTATATCTTTTAGTTTCTCTCTCTCTCTATCTCTCTCTCTCTCTCTCTCTCTCTTATATATGGAAAGAAGGGATCTATCAATCCTTAGACTGTGAATCGTGCTTGAATCCGTGATTTGGTGCAAAAGCTTTTTGTTACTCTAATTTGGTGTGAAAATTTGAAGCCCGGTCGGAGCATCATTTCACATCAAATTGGCATTTTACGTTATTTTGAAGTTGAGTTGGAGATGCTAAAGTGTTGAATAATAAGTTGCTACTTAAAAGGACTTAATGACCAATAGCCATTGTAATATTAGTGATTTGTCTACAGACCTTAATTTTATGCGAGAAGATCGTGTGAATAGGAGATGATGTTCCTTAATTAGCGGCCATGAACACATCATAAGATAAGAGGGAAAAGAACAACTTTTTGATTATTATAGTGAAACATGAATTCTAGATTTAAAAAAACATCACACTGTTTCTCTCTACTGATGAGTTGGATTGGATACATTGGCATTAGATGCAGAAGTGAAGAAAGAATTCTTGTGATTATGCATCCACACTTTGAAAACTTTCCTACTAACACCAATCCCTCTGCAGAACCTCTCTATTTCTTCATCTTTTCTCTGCAGTTTCCATCCCAATTTCTCTGCAAATGCCAGCATTTTCTCTTTCTGATCTTCTGTAAACTTTGTCCTAAACCTTTTCTTCCCACTCCGTTCCGACTCTGGAGATTCCGGTATCTGCCTCCTGCTGCAGCCTCTGCTACCACCGTATTCTACCATCTCGTGATCATGACCACCGTTTGCACCACGCGTGACTTTACGATGGAAGTTCCGATGACAACTACATGCAGCACAGTGTAGACCGACGGAGGAAGTATAATCAAGAGTAAATTCTCCGCAGCCATCGGTGGCGTAGCTGCCAAGGCTGGCTGCATGGTTTCTTAGGCACTCTCTGTATGTGTCATTTGTGTTCTCTCCTTCCATCTCTCTCTCTCTCTCTCGATATATATATATATATATATATATATATATTCTCTTGCTATATATGTGTGTGTATATGTACGTATGATTTAAGGGGAGTGATATATAGAATGCAATCGTGGTAACAAGGATTTACAACTATATGTGTACTCGACCATTCGACAATTGACAGCACAATTTATGATTCTTCTGTTCAAGTACTGAGGAACAAAAATCCCTACAAATACTATTTAGAAGATGGGAACATTTTACGATATTCATATTGTCGTAATTAATTAATTAATAGTTGCAATAAGTTATAAACTAACCACGGTAGTTGGTTAATTGTGTACTGTTTTTTCATACAAGCAAGAATTTATGCGCTTTAGCATCGAGCTCGGTTGTCTGAAATGAAACAAATGATGATCTAGAAGGTCGATGTCTTGAACGACTGAGAGCTTTGATCCAAGATCACATGCAGGTCGTAATCCGCAGTGTACTTTGACATTATGGGGCTCCAAATCGTGTCTCCATAGTTTCTATCTTTGAATTTTCCGAACATGCTTGGTAAGATAAATTCGACAAAATCATGCATCACATTATACATAATTCATATGCCTCTCTTGTCCTTTCTAGTTATCCAATGTAATGTACTAAACATGTCATTATAAATTAACTTCAAATTCAAGTTGGATTTAGTTTTAAAAAGTTGCTTAAGAAGCATACATTGAGGCTAAATTATGTTTTGGGATTGTAGGTGCTACAAATAAAAAATTTGGATACAATTTATAAAAAAATAAAAAATTTGGGTATTTAAATTATAATTATTCGTTTTTAATTTTGACATTTTTTTTTTTTTTACCATTTTTAATGGTGGATCTAACGGATCTTAACAGCAGGAGGATTTTTTGCACAAAAAGATTTTAAAAGGGGGGATTCTAGGATTTTCAATAGGTAGGAGGTATATCGCAAATTAAAACGTTTCTAGGAGGGTTTTCTACTATTAACCCCTGTTTGATCTACATTATCATCTCATTAAAATGAAAAATATGACCGTTATCCATCACATCAACATTTAAATTCAAATTTTCTATCTCTTGTGTAGACCTTAATAACATCTATATTTTTCATTTTATAATAATTTGGCTCAAATAGGGCCTTAATCATTTTTAATTAATATTAAAGAGTAAAGTTCTCTTTTCAAATTAAATAATGATGCTATAACAATAGTACATACTAAAAGATGAAATATATTTTGAATTAACTTAGTAAGGTCTATTTCAAATGACTAATTGAATCAGATGAATAATAAAATTCATATTACCGATTTCAAATTTATTGATAACAAGATTTAATGCTTGTTTGAATAAATCACATGTCTCATGGAATCCACACATTTTTCAAATCCCTTTTTTCGAAATTTGCTAAATTTTTTTATCAGAAGCTAGAATTGTCAAAACAACCCATTAGTTGTTCTTATGTTATAATTACACTTTGTCATTAAATAGGACAAAAATGGTTGATTTAGAATATCTATTGGAAATGAATTAGATGCAATTATAATGGGGGACAAGTATGAAATATAATAGTTTCTCAATCTCATTTGGACATGACACATGAAGTGATGAATGAAAAAATGGCGTAAAATCAATGTATCTGCAGTTATTGTTATAAACTATTACCAGGCACCAGATAGGCTGGAGAGTCAGCTCTGTCCCAGTTCATGAACATAAATATTCTGTCTAATGTACCTACAATGTCTACTTATGGCTGACTCTCTTGATGTAAAAACAAATAAATAAATTTAAGCCTAAGGACCCATTTTTTTTTTTTTTTTTCGGATATTAAAAATGCGTACGTTGAGTAGAACTCATTATTAAAAATTTGGTTTGTAAATTAAGTAAGAATAGACGTTATAATTGCAAGCCGAATATTTAAGATCGTTGCAATTTCAACTTCCTAATCGATAGCTAAACAAAATGATGGATTACTCGATCACTCAATTAGAAAGGATGAGATAAGAAATTAGATAACATGTCTCGTCTTGTTCAAAATCTTCAACTAAAAGACACAATTTCCACAGTAAACTAAGAATTATTTTTAGTTTACTGTACCAATTATTTTGTGTCATTTTGTTAAGTCACTATTCTCTTAATTTATCCTCAATTGTATATATTGGTCTTAGCCTTGTTTGATGTGATTGAAACCAGGCTTTTACTCGATTTTTATAAAAGTTAATGAAATCATTGAAATGTATGGTTGAAAAGTTGCGGGTTCCATGAAATCGTGCTTTATGTACACTCTTCTTTACATCTTTATTAACACTCTTCCACGTGGATCCATCAAAACCATTGATGCTGAACCCATTTATCACATCAATGCACAAATTTCTTCCACGCAGGCGAGGATGTCAAGAAAGATGTTATGAATAGTGTACATCTAGCATTATTCATTAAATATGGGCTCAATATGTATATGTTTATTTTGCTCATTTTTATGAAAAATTTATCTTTTATTAATTCAATTATGCCTCTCTATATACAAAAGAAATCGAGGAGATGTGAAGAGTATGGAAGAAACTCAATAATGCACTTGGGAACATGCAGAAAATATTTTACAATACCAGCCACTTCGTTTATGTACCGTGCTCTTTGCAAAAGAAGTTGAATAAGTAAGTTTAACCTATTAGAGATATGATATATTTATTTATTTAAATATAATAAATCTTTAATATTTTCACGTATATATGGGAGAATACATTTTTCAAAATTTCAACGTGAATACATCCTATGGCCCAATCTCTCGCTCTCTCTCCGTTTAGGGAAAAATTCATATATAAGAGATTAAATATGACACAATGCAAAATGGGAAAAAATCATAACTCAGGTGTATTGTTTACATCAATTCACAAGTCAGGTTTGTAGTTTGAAAATTTGAAATTCAGGTATAAATATTTAATTAATTAAATTTATTTATTAATTAAATACAATAAAATCAGATTTATACAATTAATTGGTCATATATACTTAATTATAAGTCACAATTTATTTATTGATCACAAATTATTTAATGGTCACAGATCAAAAAATTTAAAGGTCACAGTTTATTCGTTGATTACGGATTATTTAATAGTCACACAAAAAAATTATAGGTCACAATTTATTCATCGGTCACAGATTTCCAAATTAAATGGTTACAGATTCTTCCACAGTCACAGATAACCAAATAGTTGGTCACAAATTAATCAAATAATTGACACTGCCACCTCCACCGCCACCACCACCACCACCACAAAACAACTACCACATAAACACCATCACCACCACCAACACAAAATAGCCACCACACAAACACCATCACCACCAACACAAAACAACCAACACACAAACACCACCACATAGAAAATTGTCTAAACCCACCCCCAACGGCCATATCCATCATCGAAAAACTGCCACCACACAAACACCATCACCACTACTGCACAAAACACCATTCAAACCCACCCACCACAATGTTGATTCTGCTTCGCCTCTTCGTTACAACAGTACCACGATGGTGTCGGCCTGACGGAGTGGGTGGACCTGCTTCTCCTCTTCATTATAGTAACTCGCCTGAGTGGGTGGATCTGCTTTACCTCTTCGTTACAGCAGCATCCCCTCTTCATTATAGTAGCATCGGCGACAGGTGCTCCAAGCGGTGGTCTTGAAGGAGAAAATTTCAGATCGAGTTGTTGTGCTTCTGCCTCGATCGTCGTCGTGAGTTCGGTGATGGATTGTTGATTTGGGTGGTGGTCTTCGACGGTGGGCGATGGTCGAAGGTAGGCGTTGATCGAGGTGGGTAGAGAGAAAGAGTGAAGATATGAAGAAAAATGGTCGACTGTGAGTAGAGAGAGAGGGTGGAGATATGA